GGTGCCAATATTCAGTTTGGGAGGGCAGACTGAGGGTGGGGGGGATAGTATTTGACCGGCATCTTAAAATACGGTCTGTGTTTTGTGTGCAGGAACAGTTCCTAGTCCCAGATCACACTATCAAAGACATCAGCGGTGCTTCCTTTGCTGGTTTCTATTACATCTGCTTCCAGAAGTCAGCAGCATCTATAGAGGGCTATTACTACCATAGGAGTTCAGAATGGTAAGGAAGCTTCCTTCCTCCTGCGGACTGAAGGGTGGCTCCTCAAACCAAGCAGTGACTCCTCTTCCGCTCGTCTGCGGCCTTGGGAGCGTCCAGGCGGTGCTCCTCTGGGCTGGGAAGGAGGTTCAGTCTGGCAGCTGGACCTCGGGGCAGAAGGGAGGAGGGCGTGCGTGCCGTGCTTGGCCAGAGCAGGCTAGTGCAGCCCCTTCGTGTGGTATAAAGCGCTGCCCTTTTTGCGCGGCTGGGGATAATCGGGCTGGCAACGTGGCGCAGGGGAGACACGGGGTCTGGAGATGTGCCGCGGCCCGGTGAAGCAATGGTCTGGTGCGTCGGTGAGGTACGTTGGGAGGCAGACAGCGGCTGTGGTTCACTAAAAGCATCCCTCCAGAAGTCCGGTCTCCAGTCCAAACGCTCGCAGGGCTTGCCTGCTCCTGCCCTCCCGCGGGGACAGGCGAGCGTAAGGCAGCCTGGCCTCGTGTGCAGGGTTGTGCTCCCTCAGTTTGTGCTTTGCTCAGTGATTGAAGCTTTGAGCTACTCCGTGCCTTGGCCCTTCAGAGGATGACGGAGGGGCCTTCGAGAAGGAGCTCGGTGCTTTCTCGCATATAACAGCTTGGCTGTTGCTCCCTTCACGCAGAAACCTTGTTAGGCCAGCGCTTTGCAGTCCATGGTCCTTGGGGTGTTGCTGTAAGACACAGGGAACTGTCAAAGGCAATTGGTTGGTTTCATGTTAAAGCCATGTGACACGTAGCTGTGGAGAGCTCTTTTCCCTCTGACAGCCTTGGATATTCGTCACGTGCAGCAAGTGAATCTGTAGGGTGGCTGGAAGCTCTCGGGGGTGGGAAGGTACTGGGAGGCTTTCAGACGAATCCCCTCGAGCTGAGCTTTGAAAGACCTGCGTGTAATTTGCAGTTGTAGCAAACGCTGTTTGAACATGAAAGTTGCTGAACTTCAAAAGGTGTTCAAAAACCGCAGGCGGCCCACCTCGAACGCAGCCTGGCTGCAGGTAGCTCAAAGGCACGGGAATGGAAGTGAGGAATGATGCCGAGTCCTCACGGGGTTTTGGCACCACGGGTAAGTGGGCGTTGGGTGCCCGAACACCTCTGAGACGGTAACGGGGAAGAGAAGAGCCAGCCACCATGTCTGCTCTGTGACCTGCCAAGCGGGAGCCGTTAGTGCTAGGGGAGCTCTGTTGCCCTACGTAATCCTCTCGTCTGTCTTTTCCCTCTCTCCCAGGTATCAGTCATTGAATTTAACTCACGTTCCTGAGCACAGCGCTCCTATCTACGAATTCCGATGACAGCTGTCCAGAACTGATACCGCACAGAAGCAAACCGGGCAGGAGAGCATGGCCTGCCAGGAGAACTGTGTCCCTGTCGGAGCACGGGAATGCACGCTTCTCTCCTGCCCCTCGGACTCGCGAGAGAGAGCCTGAATGTTAACCCACCCAGCCCAAGGAGCGTGGCTGTTGGAGCTTGATTCTCCCTCCTGTCGAGTGGCGATTTGATCTTTAATCTGGTTTTAAGCTACCTTTAAATGCACTTTCTTATTGCACAGCTAGTTTCTCTATCACTGAAATTCCTCCCGGCTCTCCTCTGGAAGCTGTTTCTCAGTAGCTGGAATCAGTGGTCTGTCCTCTGAGTAATAAGAAAATATAAGCTCCGTGCTTATATTTTCATTGTTACAGCCTGATATGGGTTGAAATCGCCAGGACTCGGGTTTGTTGCCCAGATTGCCAGCTCTGGTGCTCCCAGAGCCGGGTCCTGCGTGCGAGGCTCTGCTTGGCAGAGAGCTGCTCAGCTGCAGAGTCTCTTGGGGGGAGCGTTGGCTTGAGACGGATGAGGCTTGAAGGAGTCTTTGCTTCGCGCCGGCTAGCGAGGTTAGCCGGAGCTGCAGATCTTTCGGGAACACCGGCCCTTCGGAGCTGGGAGCTGTTCCGGTGTCTGGATACGCCACTGGGAATTAATTTGATGTACGGACTTCCAGGCTCTCAGTAAAGTGGATCTGAACTCTGCTTATAGGTGTATATTTGCTCTTTACTTAAGTTAAGGGTAAAAAAGACAAAAAAACAAAAAAAGGCAAAAAAAAAAAAGACTTTTATTAAAAAAAAAATATTTTTATGGCTCCTTTTCTGAAGGACCCTATGGCAAATGCACAAGTACCCGATTACATTGTACCGTTTTCACATTGAAAACCGGGAACGTCTGCGTTAGTTTTTATATCCGTGTATGTAATCAGCTAGCCGCTTTGGGAAAGTAATCGGGGTGCAGGCCTTGAGCGGCGTCGCAGGGACAGCTCTGGGACCGTTCAGCCTTCGTACTCGCACTTCATGCTTCACCAACACCACTGCTTGAGACCTTTTTACAAGGCAAAAAAAAAAAAAGAAAAGGCAAAAAAAAAAGAAAACCAACTCCTGACAACCCCCCCCCCAGTAGCTCTCCTCTGACTTTGAAATGTTTCAAGTGATATAACTTAAGGCTTGTGTGCCAAAGTGTGTGTGTGTGTGTATGCGCGTGTGGGTTTGTTTTTTTTTTAAAGACATTTTAAAAGTTGGCCTCGGTTGTATATTTAATGTGACGGTCCCAGCCGCGGGGCTTCTGTGAGAGCTTGGTTTGCGTTTTTCTGGCCGTTTTAAAAACGACCCCCCCTTTAAAGCAGGCTTGTGTCGCGCGTTAACCGGGCGGGTGTTGAGGACGGGTTTGCCGCCTGGGAGAGGGAAAGCGAAGCCCTCCGCGGGCCTAGCGCCAAGGTGGTTTGGGTTTTCTTCTTTTTAACTAACTTTCTTCCTGTCGGCAGCGCGTCTGGCTTATCGCAGCAGCTGAATCGCTAAGTTTAAGCCTTAACGAGAAAGTATTCAGGTCTCGGTGAGCCCGTTTCCTCTATTCCAAGTCGGGATCTTGCGTGATCGGAGAAGCGGCCGGGCTGGTCTCAGGAGATGATGCGGAAAGCACTCGCCTCGTCGCGTGCTGTTCGCCGCGGATGAGTCCTTTTCCCCCAGCACAAAGGGAGAGAGACCTGGCGCTTCGGTGGGGCGGAAGCCTGCCCGCTGTGCCGGCGGGGAAGGAAGCGCGTGCCGTTGTCTTGGCCCTTGCGGGTAGGTTCGTAGAGCAGCGGGAGGGCGATGCCGGGCTGCGAGCAGAGCAGCTGGGAAGCGGATTCCCGTTTTATTCTGCTCCTCTCGGGAGAAACTCGTCCCCTTTGGCGGTGGGGAGAGGGGCTTCCCTCACAGGCGGCGCTGGGCGATGTCCTGGTTTTAGAGGCGAAAGCCGGCGGTGCCGCTCCCCCGTGACCCAGCGCGGGGGCGAAGCCTCCCCCCAGGCGCTGGGTGGGCACGGGGAGCTGGCCCCGCCCGCTGGCAGCCAGCCTCCAGAGGCCTGCAGCCCTCCGGAGCTGTCCGCGTGCAATATTGGTGGTGGCGGCGGCGGGCTCCTCGCGCTCCCCCGGGGCTGTCGGTGCCAGCGTGACGCTTGGGGTTCTGACGTGCTTTAGTTGAATTAACACTGTGGTCGTTGGCAGAAGCTGGGTTAGGAAGGGTCCCGGGGTTGTTTAATATGTATAACTACCCCAAAATTGCTCTTGAGGTTTTTCTCTGAGACTCGATATGTTGCGAGAAGGGAGGGGAAGGAGCGTCCCGCTCTCTGCCTGTATCCTTCCGACCGTCCTGAAGCCAATTTCGGCTGAAATCCAAAACTGCCGGGGTGATGCCGCCCCGCGGGACGCGTGTGGCGGGTGCAGAGCGGGTCCTGGAGCCGAGAGGTTTGCAGGGGCTGTCGGTGTTCAGAGCTTCCCTCCTCTAAAGCCTTCGTTTTGGTTTTCTTTTTCTTTGACTCGTTTGATGAGCTAAAGGAGAGATGTTACGTACGTCGCGGTGTGGTGAGAGAACTGACCGGGGGAGGATCTTGGGGTGCGGAGGTAAGAAATGGGGTGTTTGGTCCTGGAAGAGGTTGCGATGTCTCTTTTTAACCGTGCTGGCTGCAGAAGGAGGGCACTTGTGGGCAGAGGGAGCAGGGCCCGAGGCGGCATTTTGCGGAGCGATCAATGTCCAAATTAAACACGAAATGTATTTAAGGGGTCTGTGTCCGTGTGTGTTTGTCGACCAAAGCGTTTCTCGGGTCCGGGGGAGAGCTGTGCTTC